CAACCAATTTTTTTTTTTTTTGAGTTGGAGTCTCACTCTGTCGCCCAGACTGGAGTGCAGTGGCCGCTCCCGCCACCGCAGCCTCGACCTGCTGGGCTCTGGCGAGCCTTCCACCTCAGCCTTCCAAGTAGCTGGAACTGCAGGTGCGCGCTACCACTCCCGGCTAATTTTTTGATTTATTGTAGAGATGAGGTCTCGCCAAATTGCCCAGGTGGGTCTCGAACCCGTGGGCAATCCACTCACCTCAGCCTCCCAAAGCGCGGGATTATAGGCTGAGCCACCCGAGCCCGGCTCATACTACCAATTTTATACATTGATTTTGTATCCTAGACTTTACTGAAGTAGTTTAGAAGACATAGACGCCTCTTGGAGGAGTCTTTAGGGCTTTCTAGGTACAGTCATGTCATCAGTGAACAGGGATAGTTTGACTTCCTCCTTGCCACTCTAAATGCCTTTTATGTCTTTTTCTTGCCAGAGCTATTTTGATTGAGCAGTGGGGCTGAAGGCCAAACTAGAGTGGGTGGAGGAATGATGGAGAGTTGCAGAAATGGAGATACTGTAGGAACTGACAACTTCTTCAGAAAGTTTGTCTGTTAGGGAGACCAAGATATTTTGATTGCTTATTTGATTTATTCTTCTTCCTTTTTTAAATGGACTTGACCTTCTTTGATGTCAGGAAAAGATAGACAGAAACATCAAGGCAGAAGACTGCTGGAGTTGCTAACAATGTATGGTAGTTCATAAAAGAGAGTGACTTCTAGTGCCTACCAATTCAGTCTGTCTTTTTTAACTTTGTTAACCAAGTTGGATAGACAAGGTTTGTGTATTCATGAAAACTTAGGTTTATTATTCTGGTTACCAATTTCTTAGACTCCTTTTCTTTATTACCATATTTCTTCCTTATATCATCTCACTTCTTGTCCCCTTCTCTCACTCCTCCCAAGCTCTTCTATGTCCCAAGGGGAAATTCACAAAGCCACTTGTGCTCTGCGCCTGAGGGTATACTTTACTTATCTGTGATTTTGAGCATTATATCAGTAGGATGAGGTGAGGATCCCATGGCTCTAACAAGTAGGAGTGATACTTGTGCAGACCAGTCTTAGCTCTAAGACTTTTGCAGCAAAAGTATAGAACATATTACTTACCTCAATTATAACTTCATTTATGTTGCTAACCAAAACATGTTCTTCTAAATTCAGTACATTCTTTCTCTATAAACAGACACATTTTGAGAGGTTCAAAACTTCAGTAGAGGAAGTACCTACATATGTGATAGAAATACCAAGAAAACTAGAATTAGAAGTGGGCCTGAAGATATAATTGAATTGCTGCAATCTCATGATGAAACTTGAATGGATGAGGAGTTGCTTCTTATAGAATGAGCAAAGAAAGTGGTTTCTTAAAACAAAATCTATTCCTGGTGAAGATGCTGTGAACATCATTGAAATGACAACAAAGGATTTAGAATATTGCATAAACTTAGTTTAAAAAGCAGCAGCAGCATTACATACTACAGAGAAATATTTTTTGAAAAGAAGGATCAATTAGTGCAGCAAACTTTATTGTCTTATTGTCAGAAATTGCCACAGTGAAAATTTTGAACCTCAAAGTCATCTATGAGTGCTGGTATCAAGTTCTTTCCAACTCCTGTTAATGTTGATAGATATTTTGACCTCCCATGAATCACAAATGTTCATGGCATCTAGTATAGTGGATTCTTTATAGAAGGTCTTCAGTAACTGCCACTCTGATCAATCAACAGCCATCAACACTGAGGCAAGACCCTCCACCAGCAAAAGGATTACAACTTGCTGAAGGCTCAGAAGATCATTAGCATTTTTTAGCAATAAAGTGCAGTTGACCCTTGAACAATGTGGAGTTATAGGCTCTGACTCTTTCCTGCCATACAGTCAGAAATCCTCATATAACTTTTGACTATTCAGAAACAAAACTACTAAGAGTAAATTTGCATTTCCTTGATGATTAACAAAGTTGAACAACCTTTCATGTTTACTGGCCATTTTAATATGCTCTTGTGAAATATCTGTTGAAGTCTTTTGCCCTTTTTAAAGTTGGATTAATTATCATTTTCTTATTGTTTTGTAGTTTTCTTATTTATACCATTCTCAGTTTCAGGGGGAAACCCTAAGTAATTCACCATTAAATGATTGCTGTAGAATTTTTTTTTTTAAGTCAATATTCTTTATCAAATTAAGGAAATTCCCTTCTATTCCTAGTTGGTTAAGAATTTTTATTATTAATTGGTGTTGATTTTATTTATTTTTTTGACATCTGTCAAAATGCTCTTGTGTCCTTTCTGTTACTCTGATGAATTATTTTGATTGAATTTTTGATATTAATCTGCCCCTAAACTTCTAGGGTAGATTTCCATAGCAGCTGCAGCATTTTATTTACATTCCCACCAGCAACATACAAATGTTCAAGTTTCTTCACATTCTCACCAACACTTGTTTTCCCTGTTTATGAATTATAGCCATCCTAGTGGATATGAAACACCGTAGTTTTTTATAGCTCTATGAGTTCTTATTCAATCATGTAGACAGTGGGAACAGTCACCATAGAGTAAAATAATTAGAGCAAAAAGAGTTACATTCGGTACCTAGTACTGGTAGCATATATATTTAAGTATTTGACTATGAATTGATAGTTTAGATGATTATCATCCTAGAATATATATGTACTTATACATATGTATTTTTTTATTCTTTTTTGTAGTTATCTGAGAAGAAAAGGAATAATAATAAATGAAACATCTGCAGTTGTCTATGCTCAGTTACTCACAGGTCGTAAATATCAAATAAATCAAAATGGTGAAGTACGTCTAGAGAAACAGTGGTCAAAACAAGTTGTTCCTTTTGTTTATCAAACTATTGTCAAGGTAAGTATACATCAAGTTTCAAATCTGTCTTAATGTATACTATTACACATTGTATAATGAAAAGACTATATCATGTTAATACTTATTTATAAATAGACTAATTTAGCAATATATAATAGAGATTGTTATCAATATAATTTACAAAATACATAAATCCTTGTAAGAAGTATTACTTGCTAAGATACTCACTATGTGTATAGCTAGGAAACTTGTCTTTTATGTTTTTTCAAGGATTTAGTCTCTAAAAGAAAAATCCCAGATTTTTCAAGGTTATTATCTTATAACCTTGAATTGTAGATTTTTATTCTTCAAAAATGTTTACCTTAAATAAACTAATAAACATAAAAGGAATTTGCTTTTGTGTCTGTAATCTTAGATATGGTAAGGGGACAATATTTTTTAATATATGTTGTGAGCCTATAATCTTGGGGGTACAGTATAGTGTAATGATTAAAAACATATGCTATGGTCATTGCTTTGCTAAACTCTGGTCTGATCATGTGGTTCTTTGAGCTATGGCCACCATGTTTTCCTAGTTTCTTCCTTGGGGAGGTGAATCTCCTCTTTTTTTTTCTCTCTCTCCAGTTTCCTTTCTAAATAAACTATATTTTCCAATCTAAAAAACAAACAAACAAAAAAGCATATGCTGCCTTAGTTGGCTTCTTCACTGTGTGATTTTGGACAAGATTCATCTCTTTCTATGCCCCTGTTTTCTTATCTGTAAAACAGATTATTAATGGTCTCTGCCACAGAGTGTTGCCTTGAAGATTAAATGAGCTAAATAAATGTGTGAAGCACCTAGAAGAGAGTCTGGCATATAACTTGTCAATAAATGTTAGCTACTAGCCTTATGTAGAAAAATCTTCACAATTGACTTTTGCAAAGAGCATGCTTGTAATCCCATAGGAAAATATCTTGATGTGCAATCTATAAAAATTTTTACTGTAGTGATTTTTACATTTCATTTTACCTAGGACATCCGAGCTTTCGACTCCCGTTTCTCCAGTATCAAAACATTGGATGATTTGTTTCCTCCCAGGAGTATGGTCTTTATGCTGGGAACCCCCTATTATGGCTGCACTGGAGAAGTTAGTTTCAGTTATTGTTACTAATTACATTTATTTCTGGTTTCAAGTTAATACAGCCATTTAGCTTCTCTTCTTTTAGGTATAAAATAAAATACAATACTAAAGGAGAAAAATAAGAAAGCATTCATCTATGTAACTTATGAACACAGCATTTGACTTCCGAAGGGGAACCCCCCCCAAAAAAACGGGATTATTTTTTGGAGGGTGGGCCCCTTGTAGTACAGTCTTCTGCTAAGTAAGTGTTCTAGGAATCCATCAGCATCAGGTGTACCAGCTTATGTTTGTTGTAAGAGGCTGCGTTCTGCTTCAGTGAATTTTTCTTTGGAAATTCTTCAGTGCATTTGCCAATTTTATGATGGGTGATTTACATGAACAACATGAAGTGGTAAAATTTTGTTTTCTGAGCGTTCAGCAGTTTTTGACCAAAAACAGCAAGACCCCAATGCCCCACCCTCCCTATTCACCCAGTCTCTCCTGAGTGACTTATTTTTGTTTCCCTGAATTAAAAATAATCCTCAAGAGGGAACTTTTTGCCAGTGTGGAAGAGGTGTAACAAAATGGTAGAAACACTAAAAGGCATCAAAATTGACAAGTTCAAAAACTGTTTTTAGCAGTGGAAAAAGCGTCTCGATAGGTGTATGACATCAAGTGGACTTCATTCACTTAGAAAGCAATTGAAGTTTAAACTTGTGAGAATAAATACACAATTTTTTATAAATAAATTCTGGGTTTTTTGGGTTCCCCTTCATGTATCTTTAATCTTGAGCACGTTAGGGTCAGGGTGTGGTGTGTTCAGATCCTGATCTCTTTTTTAATAGGGTTTTGTGTGTGTGTGTGTGTGTGTGGTGTCAATGAAGCAATTTTGAAACCATTAGACATATTATTATAGGGATGAATTATGTACAAATGTGTTAATGTTTTGAGAAACGAATTCTTACATGGAAAAAAGTACAAGCAAATGTGGAATGGGAGAAAGCAAGAAAGAACCTATAGGGACAGATTTGTAGGTAGTGGTGTGAACTCATGGTTTCTAAAATATGTATATATGTGTGTCTATGTGTGCATATAAGTACATACATATGTGAGTATATATGTATGTGTATGTGTATATACATGCATGTATTTCCTAGCTGTATTTTCTCCAAAGGATAAGAAGTAAAGATACCCTAGTAACAGTTGACATGTGTAACACCCAGATTTTGACCTCTAATTCCACACCCCATTAAAAGGAACAAGGTTTCTCAGAGAAATAGCTGGTTCTATGTCTAGGGCAGGGAAAATACAATATGAGCCTGGAACATCTTGTTATGCCAAACTTTAAGGAAGTACTCAAAATAATGATGGCAGCATGTCATGTAAACATAGAAACCAGGTTAAAGAGATTTCCACTGGCCAAATCTGGGATAGTTTAAATGCCAAAATAATTAAATACAATGATGAATTATAAACCAGTGTAGAAAATAGGAATTCATGATTCCATGGTGATAATCAAAAGATAAATATGGAAGGGAAGAACTTTTGTTTATAGTCGTATATCAAGAGTAAACGTGGAGAGAGTAATGGAGTTGGAAGACCATTTTGCAACATTATGATAAAGATGGAATTAGGTGAAAATCGTAAATATAGGTGGAATTTTTTATTCAGAGCAGGATTTTTCATGGTCTTAAGAAAGTATCTCCCCATAGACCATTTATTAGCTGCAAGGGAAGCAAAATACTAAAATTGTGCAGTGAATAAACTGAGCAACCTTTTTTTTTTTTAAATTTTTTGAGTCAGGGTCTCACTCTGTCACTCAGGCTAGAATACAGTGGCAAAATCAGAGCTCACCACAGTCACAACCTCTCATGCTCAGGCAATCCTCCCATTTCAGTCTCTCAAATAGCTGGAACTACAGGTGCATGTCATCACACCCCCAACTGATTTTTTTATTTTTTTGTAGAGTCAAGGTCTTGCCATGTTGCCTAGGCTGGTCTTGAACTCCTAGGCTCAAGCAGTCCTCCTGCCTTGGACTCCCAATGTGGTAGGTATGAGCCACTGTGCCAGCCTTGAGCAATATTTTGATAGCGTGATCAAAGATACTACTGTCACACACTGAGGGACAGATGAAGATCGTATACCTCCAGATGTGATACCCTGAGAAGAACACATCACTATGCAATATTCTGGCTGAGAATGTGATAACTAATTACAAGGAAGCATCAGACAGACTGAAAATGAAGAATTTTTTTTTAAAAAGGAGGTTGGAGAGGGAAGTACAAATTTTATTCTTCAAAATGTCAGTTTTATAAAAAATGAAGAAAGGCTCTGGATACATTCCAGATTAAAGATGCCAAAGAGATACGACAGCTAGGTGCAATATCTGATCCTAACTTGAATCCTGTAGTAAAAGGAGAAAATAATTCTTTAAAGAAAATTATCAGGCCCATTGACAAAATTGGAATGTGGATAGTAGCTTAGATAAAAGTGTTGTATCAATGTAAATTTATATACTTAATAATTATTTTGTGATTATATAATAAAGTATTATTAGGAAATATAACTAAATATATTTCCTAATAATAAATAAATAATATTTAGAGGTCAGGAAAATTATACATGTAATATGTCCTCAAAGAAAGAAAATAATTATGTGTAAGTTAATATAGTGCACAAATGATAAAGCCAGTTTCTTTGCAATATTAACAAAGATGAATCTGGATATATGTTTTTGAGTGTTCTTTGTGTGGTTTTTATTTTTGAAACTTTTTGATATTTTGAAATTATTTGCAAATAGAAAGTTAATTTTGTTCATTCATTCATTTAGAGTCAGAGTCTCACTCCATCACCCAGGCTGGAGTGCAGTGGCACACTCATGGTCACCCAATGTCAACCTGCTGGGCTCAAGTGATCCTTCCACCTCAGCCTTCCAAGTACTCGGCATGCTACCATGCCCAGCTAATTTTTTGATATATTGTAGAGATGAGGTCTCACCAAGTTGAACCCCTGGACTCAGGTAATCCACTCGCCTCAGCCTCCCAAAGTGCTGGGATTTTAGACTTCAGCCACTGCACCTGGCCTGAAAGTTAATTTTAAAAAGAATGATTAACAACCATTAAAGCAAAGATACAGGGACTCAAATTTATAGTATTACCATATCCACTTACAAATTCCTAGAGAATTTCTACTATCCAACTCTATTGTCATACTGTATTTCAGAAATAATAAATATGGAACTGGTACAGTGGCTCACTCCTATAATGTCAGTGCTTTGGGAGGTGGAGGTGACAAGATTAACTGGGCCCAGGGGTTTGAGACCAGCCTGGGCAATTTGGCAAGACCTCATCTCTATAATAAATAAAAAATTTAGCCGGGCGTGGTGGTGTGCGCTTGAAGTTCCAGCTACTTAGAAGGCCAAGGCAGAAGGATCATCTGAATCCCAGTAGGTCAAGGATACGGTAGCCATGAGTGTGTCACTGCACTCCAGCCTGGGCAACAGAGTATGACACCTACTCAAAAAATAATAGTAATTCTTAAAAACTGTTCAAACAAGTAAAATAAATAAATAAAATGTGAATGAGACTAAAACATTGTGTGATTTTTTTTTTTTTTTCTCTTCAAGGTTCAGGATTCAGGCGATGTGATTGCAGAAGGTAGGATTCGTGTGGTTTTCAGCATTCCATTTGAACCCAGTCTTGATGCTTTAATACAGAACCAACATGTGAGTATAGTAGTTCATGTTGTTTCATTTAGAATTGATAAACTTTTAAAATGTTAGAAGGATATTTTTGCTACCTCCTTTGAACTTGTTCCAAATATTTTATTTAATATTATATTATCTCACACTTGCAAGTAGTATTTAAAAATAAATGTGGAATCTACCCTCAAAACTTCATGCAGGAGGCCAGGCGTTGTGGCGGTTCATACCTGTAATCCAAGCACTTTGGGAGGCCAAAGTAGGAGATTGCTTAAGACCAGGAATTCAAGACCAGCCTAGGCAACATAGCGAGATCCTGTCTTTACCAAAAAAAAGGGCAAAAATTTCATGCAGATCTTTGGGGGGGGGGGAATTACTGAAATTCCATTATTCATTCATAATGGTTATTATGGATTATTCCATTCAAGCTATAAGAGGCACATTGATTAGCATATCCTCTGGGAATAGACTTAGATTTTTTTAACCTTCCATAATAATTCAAAGTCTGCATTTTTAGTTATAAGTGGCAAATGACATTTCTACAATGTTTATATATCTCTACTCAGCTAAAAATGAACAATTTCAACCCTTCTAAAGAATATTAGGAAACTGCATTTAAGTTCCTTTTTTTCCCCAAAGATGTATACTGGCCTCCTCCTCCCCTGAAAATAGGGAGAAGGTTCTGATACTGGCATTTGTTCTTATTGATTGTATAGTTTACTTGACAGAAGTTAATTTCCAATTAATAGGCTATTGCTACTTAGGCTTTATACTTTTTTTTTTTTCCTTATGGGAAATCCTGTGAAATTCATTTAAGGTGTTAGATACACCCATGAGGAAACGTTTTGTCTTTATGTCTTAAAATCTTACCATTAGGTAGCTGTTGGAGAACACATTTAGACAGTATAGTCAGGAAACCAGGAAAGTGGCGCATTAGATAAAGAAGCTGGAGCTTTGTTCTGGGAGTCAGTGAAGGTGGAAGAATTATGTTCCTTCATCCTTGACTTTTTAGATGTAGAGGAGCTTGCCCACTTGTTGCATACAGTTTTGATGGCCATGCCTTTCCAGTATACTTTCTTTTTCTTTACATATCTATTTTTTTTTTTTGAGTTGGCTCTCACTCTGTCACCCAGACTGGAGGGCAGTGGCACGCTCCCGGCCACTGCAGTCTTGACCTGCTGGGCTCTGGTGATCCTTCTGCCTCAACCTTCCAAGTAACCGGAACTACAGGCGCGTGCTACCACGCCCAGCTAATTTTTGATTTATTGTAGAGACGAGGTCTCGCCAAGTTGCCCCGGTGGGTCTCAAACCTGTGGACTCAGGCAATCCACTTGCCTCGGCCTCCCAAAGTGCTGGGATTACAGGCTGAACTACCGCACCCGGCCTTTTGATAGTTTTCATTAATTTAAAATTATAGCATAACCAAGTACATTTCAGAAGGAGTACTATTGGTATTTTAGACAAGAAATTATGTATTAAATAGGACTGTTTTATACATGGCAGGGCAGTTGGCATCTTTGGCCCATGGACACTAAGTGCTGGTAGCCCATGCCAATTACTGTAACTAAATGTGCTCCTACATGTTTCATTCCAAATGCTTGTTAGAAAACTGATACTGGCAGGTGCGGTGGCTCATACCTATAATCTCAGCACTTTGGGAGACTGAAGTGAGAAGATTGCCTGAGCCCACGGGTTCGAGACCGGCCTGGGCAACTTGGTGAGAACTCATCTCTACAATAAACCAAAAACTACAGGCATGGTGGCACATGCCTGTAATTAAAGAAGGGAAGACTGAGGGGGAAGAATCACCTGAGTCCAGTAGCTGAGGCTGCAGTGGCCATGATCGTGCACTTCAGCCTGGGCGACAGAGTGAGACTCTGGCTCAAAAAAAAAAAAGAAAGAAAAGAAAACTGATACTACCTATAATTGAAAACTACTATCTTAATTATTTCAATCTATTCTAGAAAGCATGCTTGATTTGTATTGTATTATTGCTAAAATCTGATGATGATCTTGAGAGAAAGACTTTGTTGCATTCTTTACTAACATACTTATTTTAATAGTATTGTTAGGCTGGGCACGGTGGCTCAAGCCTGTAATCTCGGCACTCTGGGGAGCCAAGGCAAGAGGATTGCCTGAGCCCGCAGGTTCGAGACCAGCCTGGGCAACATGGTGAGACCTTGTCTCTACTATAAATCAAAAAATTAGCCGGGCATGGTAGCACACGCCTGTAGTTCCAGCTAGTTGGAAGGCTGAGGCAGAAGGATCGCCGGAGCCCAGCAGGTCAACATTGAGGTGGCTGTGAGCATGCCACTGCACTCTATTCCAGCCTAAGCAATGGAGTGAGACTCCAACTCAAAAAAAAAAAAAAAAATTGGTATTGTTTTTGTTGGGTTTTTTTTTGTTTTGAAGGTTTTTTGGGGTTTTTTTGAGTTCGCATCTCACTCTGTCGCCCAGCCTGGAGTACAGTAGTATGCTCATGGCCACCATAGCCTTGACCTGCTGGACTCAGGCCACCCTTCCACCCCAGCCTTCCAAGTAACTGGAACTACCGGTGAATGCCACCATGCCTGGCTAATTTTTTTTTTTTTTTTTGAGTTGGAGTCCCACTCCCGGCCACTGCATCCTCGACCTGCTGGACTCTGGCCATCCTTCCGCCTCAGCCTTACAAGTAGCTGGAACTACAGGTGTGCGCTACCACACCCGGCTAATTTTTGATTTATTGTAGAGATGAGGTCTCGCCAAGTTGCCCAGGCGGGTCTTGAACCCATGGGCTCTGGCAGTTCACTCATCTCGGCCTCCCAATGCACTGGGATTACAGGCTGAGCCCCCAAGCCTGGCTAGTTTTTTGATTTGTTATAGAGATGTGGTCTCGCCAAGTTGCTCAGGCAGGTCTTGAATCCCTGGACTCAGGCCCACTCGCCTCCACCTCCCAAATTGCTGGGGTTACAGACACGAGCCACCACACCTGGTCTATAATCTAGTAGATTTGTAATCTAGGTCACCAAAAAATTTTTCCATTTAGGTGTCATTTTAGACATGATTGTTGATTAAAAAATACTAATGACTGATTTAATTCCTTTCCAACTGCTAAAAATTTTTTGCTGGTAGTTGAATTTCCTTATATTTATATCAAATATGAATATAAACTATTCACATAATTAATATAAATATATGAGTATAAAATAAGGATGCGTAATTGCTATGTACATTATGTTATGTATGGTGGTTTATCATAATTGATACTAGATTTGTGAATGTGTGATTCCTGATTAAATATTACAATATCTAATACTTTTTAAAATATTTTTTTGTTTTATATATATAAATATATTTTTGTTTGTTTGTTTTTAATTGAGATGAGGTCTCACTCTATTGCCCAGACTAGTTTCAAACTTCTGGCTTCAAGCAGTCCTTCCACCTCAGTCTCCCAGAGTGTTGGGATTACAGGCATGAGCCTCAGCACCTGTCCTGATGCTTCTTTTTTTTACTATGACAATCTTCATGATTTATTCCCTTAAGTACACAAACTAAGGTTGCATTTCATTGACTATATTACTTATAAGCCTATACACACTTGTTACTTTCATGCAACAGTAAATATTAGGGGAAAAGAATATCATATCCATGTATAAAGAACACTTTTAATTTCACTCAGTAGCAACTATTTTGATGACATACTTATATTGTAATTCAGTGTAATAATTATTGAGGTCTCATTTTGTCCCAGGTTCTTTGTTAGGTCCAGTTTGGAATATGAAAATTAAAAAAAAAAAGAAAGCAAAAATACTTGCTTGTGGAGTTTGCCATTTAGTATTTACAGTAGAGTTTATTTCTTGAGATAGTTTCACAAACTGTATATTTCCTCCCCCTTTCATCCATCCTTGGGAATTCTGTCCTTTAAGGAGAAAGAGAGAGGAGCAGAAAAATTCTGCCAACAGATCCTTTCAAAAAAAAGGGGAAATGGATCTAAGTGAGAATCCTTATATTGCCACAATCCAATGGTTAGTGATGTCTTGATTATCTCCAGATTTTAAAGGTAAAAAAATAACATTTAATGTAAACTTGCATTTCCATAATTGACCTTTTTGTTTTTATATTTAAAGAAATATTCTATAAAGTACAACCCAGGATATGTGTTGGCCAGTCGCCTTGGAGTGAGTGGATACCTTGTTTCAAGGTTTACAGGAAGTATTTTTATTGGAAGAGGATCTAGGAGAAAGTAAGTTTATGTTAGAGAAATTTACTTAAAGTGGCAGAAAAATTAAATGATAAAGATTAAATGCTTAATATTTCAGTATTTATTTTCTCTTATTAATTGCTCTGAATTATCTTTTTAAATTGTGCATAAATTCCTCTGATAGTGATCTTTCATCTGAATGGCACATGTTTTAGGTGGTTGGAAAGACAGTTCTTATTTTTAGCAGCTGACAAATTGAACCTTGAAAAAAGGTATCAGAGGGTGTGTGTGAACCTCAGTAGTATATTTCCTTGCATCTTGTCGTTTCATTTTCTTCTATAATTACATAATCTATTTACTTGCTTTTTTAACTTGGGTTTTGAAGCCTTTCCTCTAGTTTTTCAATTACTGCTACTTTGTAAATAATCATAATACTAAAATGTAAAAGAACAATGAAAACTGAGCTTTTCTAAGAATTGAAAACAAAACTTTTTATTCCTTAAACAACATTTTAAAATGTGTGTGTGTGTTTGTGTGTGTGTGTGTGTGTGTGTGTGTGTGTGTGTGCATGTGTGGTTTGAATTCAGCCCTCATGGAGACCATAAAGCAAATGTGGGTTTAAATCTCAAATTCAACAAAAAAAACGAGGAGGTACCTGGATATACTAAGAAAGTTGGAAGTGAATGGATGTATTCATCTGCAGCAGAACAGCTTCTTGCAGAGTACTTAGAGAGGTAAGTGCCTAAGAACATCCTACCAGGCATCCAAAATCTTATGGATTGTACTATTTATTTTGCCTTGCTAACATTAGTTTTGCCTTTATTAAAATGTGAAATATGTTACATGTGAACTTAATTTTGGGTCATGGAGTATTATAAGCATTAGCTAAAATGGCTATAATACTATATTTATATATAATACCATACTTATATTAAAAAGAAAAAGTGTAAGAACTGACCTCCTTTTAGTTAAAATTTTTCTCACTGTCATAAATTATTCACTACTTTGCATGGATAAACAAAACAGCATGGATAGGCATAGGATTGGCATGGATAAACAAAACAGCTCTTGGCATAGTAGAGTTTTCTGAGTCTTACAACTATAACTGGACAAATTACTATCCTAGAATTATTGAATTTTGTTGTTAACATGATCTAAGAAAAGAACAAGTCCCAATTCCTCATTACAAAAATGAGAAACTTAGTACCAAAATTAACCGAGTTAATAGTGACAAAGATTTATGGGAAGTGTATTCACTTCTGATGTTCTTTCATTGTTCCAGTGGTTTCTAACCTTCTTGTATTTGAAGATTCCTTTATTGGTTTCCTAGGGCTCCAGTAACAAAGTGCCACAAACTGGGTGGCTTAAACAACATAAATTTATTGTCTCAGTTCATGTTACCAAAAGCCCAAAATCAAGGTGTTGACAGGATGATGATGGTCTGTCTTAAGGCACTAGGGAAGCACCTTTCTCTTAGCTTCTTGTAGTGTATGTGTTCAATCACTTGTAGATACATTACTCCAATACTCCATCTTCACATGGTGTTCCCACTGTGTGTCTTCACCTCATCTTTCATCTCTATGTCTGTCTGTGTCTCCTAATTACACCTTTTAAAAATTTTTTTTTAATTTTTTTTGAGTTGGAGTCTCACTCTGTCGCCCAGACTGGAGTGCAGTGGCCGCTCCCGGCCACTGCAGCCTCAACCTGCTGGGCTCCGACGATCCTTCCGCCTCAGCCTTCTGAGTAGCCGGAATTGCAGGCACGCGCTACCACGCCCGGCTAATTTTTTTATTTTATTGTAGAGATGAGGTCTCGCCTGCCCAGGCGGGTCCGAACCCGCGGGCTCAGGCAATCCACTCACCTCAGCCTCTCAGAGGCGCAGGATTACAGGCTGAGCCACTAATTACCCCTTTTTATAAGGACACCAGTCATATTGGATTAGGGTCCACCCTCATCATCTGATCATCTCATTTTACTTCACTGCCTCTATAAAAATTCTTTTTTCCAAATAAAATCACATTCTATATCTTCTGAGGGGCACAGTGGGACACAATTCAATATTACCATGTGGACATTTAGACTATTTCTTCTATTCACTTCCGTATTTCTTTAAAAGTTCATATTAAAACTACTTTTTGTTGATTTTTCATCTTGACATGTCCATAAATTTCCTACTTGAGCTTTAGCTCTCTTCTACTACCAGTACTCCCGATTCCCTCACAGATGTACATATTTCTTCTCTCACTAAAATTTTATCAGAATTTTTTATTAAATCTGTATGAAATGTTTACTTGACTGTGATAAATGTTCACAGTTGGACCCTACAATGTTATGATTACATTTCTTATACACATTTTTGTTTTCTCTGCTGCTTTTTCATTTGGGTTTTTGATTTGCCTGTTTGTTTGGTTGGTTGGTTGTTTTTTGTTTGGACAGGTTTTAATCTGTCATTCAGGCTGAAGTGGAGTGGCAGAATCAGGTAGTCCTGATCTCCTGGGCTCAAGCAAGCCTTCTGCCTCAGCCTCCCAAGTAGCTAGGATTACAGGCTCATGCCACCATGCCCAGCTAAATTTTCATTTTTTGTAGAGACAGGATCTTATTTTGTTGCCCAAGCTGGTCTCAAACTCTGGACTCAAGTGATCCTCTTGCCTCAGTCTCCCAAAGTTCTGGAATTATAGGTGTGAGCCATCGTGCACAACCTTCATTTGGTTATTATCTGTGTTCACATAACTAATTTAGCCCTACCTCTGTGCCGTAGCTGTAAAATTCCACATGGTCAAGCAGATCAGGTAATCTCTTCATTCCATTTTCTTCTAGTAGTCTTCCTTTTAAAACCTTTCATCTTCTTGCTTCATTTTGAATGGATTGCTCTCTAGGGCTATTGCGCTTGCAGCTCTTGCTCTGGAGTTTGCTTTACTGTCATCCCTAACCACCATCATGTTTACTCTCATCTCTTCACCATTCTACTGTATAGGATTCCTTCATTTTCTGGCTCTCATGCCTTACTCTTTCTGAATTATAACTCTGTTTTGATGGGCATAGAATTTCTAGATTGGTGATTATTTTCCCTTAGAATTTTGAAAGCACTGCTTCATTCTCTACTTGTTTTCAGTATTGCTATTGATAATCAAAATCCATTCTGATTTTGAATCTTTGTGACCTATTTTTACCTTCTGAACTCTTTTTAGGATCTTCCCTTTACCAGTGCTATTTAATAATGTGATGATGCGTGCCCTGGTATGAATTTTTTTTCTTTCCTTTTTGCTGTTCAGTCTTTTCAAACTTGAAACTGATGCCCTTCCATTCTGAGAAACTTTCTCGTATTATTTATTTGATAACTCCCTGCTTACCATATTTTCTATTCTCTATTTCTGGGAATCTTGTTATTTAGATCTTAGACCTTCTGGATTGGTCCTCTTAATTTTATTATCTCTCTTCATCCACATTTATTTTCAATATTGTTATATTTCTTTGGGAAATTTATTAAATTATTTATCTTATATCTTTTTATTTCTATTTAATTTAATCAATTTTAATTTCTAAAAGAATGTCCTTATTCTCTGGCTATTCTTTATAGCATCTTGTTTTTATAATGAATTAAGTGTCTTTTTCTGAAGATGATAATTCAAGATTTTTTTTTCTTCTATGCTTTTTTTTTTTTTGAGTTGGAGTCTCACTGTATCACCCAGGCTGGCACAGTCATGACTACCGTAGCCTCGACCTGCTGGGCTCAGGTGATCCTTCTGCCTCTGCCTTCCAAGTAGCTGGAACTACAGGCATACACCACCACACCCGGCTAATTTTTTGATTTATTGTAGAGATGAGGTCTCGCCAGGTTGCCCAGGCAGGTCTTGAATCCGTGGGCTCAGGCAGTCCTCTCACCTTAGCCTCCCAAAGTGCTGGGATTATAGGCGTGAGCCACGGCACCTAGCAAGCTTTTGTTGTTGTTGTTTTTTAACCCCTGTTTGATTTGGTCTCTCTTTCATGTTAAAGATTTTTTTTTCATTTGTGTAGTGATTCTGTAGTGTCTGATTATGTCTGATTATATTTAAGAATGAGGCACTAAAAAGCTGATTGGAAGTCTAGTGTGCTTAGGTTAGGTTTACCAGCTGGGACTTTGCTATTTCTGCAGAGACTGTGCTGATATTACTACCTGCGTGTATATCATTTCTTTCCCAGAGAAGTAGCCTTCAGACTTCTTTTAGGGGAATGGATGTGGGGAACAAAACTGGCTACCAGTATTCTGGAAATTAACCAGGGAAAGGGAATCCCATTACCTAGTGTAATATACCCTCCAGATCTGTTTTCAGGACTGAAAGATCTATTCCTCTGGCAGCCCTCAGGTGTGAGCCCTCTTCAGTAATTGCCTAAATGAAGAGAACTGCCCCACTTAAAGTTGTGTCCCCTTCCCATAACAGCCACAGATCCAATGCTGGTCTATAAGGAGGTGAAAAGCCCAGTCAATCTGATACCCCTAATTCAGGGCAAGTCTGAAGGTCCATCCTAATTTAACATCTTTGTAAAGTTGGCTAAGGAATTCATTGAGAATTAATCACCGCCCAACATCTTCCTATGCCCAATTCTACTCCTTTCCCTTCTCTTCCTTAATTAGTGTTCATCCCACAAGCACTCCCTGCAACTTTCTCCATGCTTATTGCCATCCCAGAGTCTGCTTCCTAGAGACATTATGCTTCCTAGCCTGCTTCCTACTGACACATTGTATAATAGTATACTTTCATTAATTCTTTGTTTTCAGTGTGACACCTATCCTCTCCTCCTTGTATGCCCCCACCTCCACCCCCAACATCCATGCCTAGTATACCCAACGCTAGAGTATTTCTTATTTGACTTCTGCAAATATATGCTACAGGTCTTATACTGGAATGGTAGACAGGAAACCACAGGACACTCTAGCTGCTTGTTATACAAATTTTCAACTAAAATCTTATTAAACCTCACCTATAATACAGCCTTCAAATGTACCTGGAGCCCATAATTCCTGAGCTTTTGCAGGGTTCTCTTTCAAACCAACTTGCTTCTTGTTGACTTCCCCTGCTGGGGGTTTAGTATTCAACTTATTCTTATCTGTCAAGTCAGTTAGCATTCATCCATCTAGTTTCCAGTTTCTAAACTTTTGTTGACAAGTCATATATGTCATGAGATACAATCCACTGTCATTTTAGTGGATTGGAGTGGGACAAAAGATAAGCATATGTGTTCAATCTACTTTATGTACCTGAAAATCCTGTGCTCTTCAGAAAGAAATGGAGTTTTGCGGAATATCAGAAGAAGCTGTTAATCTACTTTAATTTGCCATATTGTGGAATGCTTCAACTTTCTTATGGAAATTAGAAAAATGAACCTGTAGATATTGTTTTTGTCCATCACCTGTAATTTAAACAAAGAGAATAGAGTCAGTAATTGAAGTTTATTATATGATTATGAACTGAACCTCGGCCAGTGGAATTATTTTTTAAGGGCCTAGGAATACTCAGACTTTCAAATATTTCAGTCTCTATCCCTTATTAGTACTATAATAATCAGTCCTCAATATACTTTGTATGGCCCCTTACGATCTGAAATTATTTTATAGGAAGTTTATGTGAAGTTATCCATATATATTTTAAAGCAATATTTTTCTTTGTTTGTTTGGCTAGAGCTCCAGAACTATTTAGTTATATAGCCAAAAATAGCCAAGAGGATGTGTTCTATGAAGATGACATTTGGCCTGGAGAAAATGAGAATGGGTAAGCAAGATTTGTGGTATTTCTTGCCTCATAGTTAAACTTAATGATTTCAGTGACAGGTGCAGCTAGTTTATCAAGAATTTGTTATCTTTTTTTGGTTTTGTATTTTTCATTTTTGCTTTAAGAGCTTAAAATGTTTTATTTCATTTATATTGGTAAATACTTTTAAACTAGCTTTTTATGATTTTTTTATTACCAAGAAGTAAGATGTTTATATTATATTGAATTTATAATTAGTCCCAATTAAGTTTAGTGATTGATTATATAAATTTGATGTATTTTATAATTTATAACCCTCAGAAAGTTTTAATTGTTGTGAAAAATTATTCTTTTCACTACAGTGCTGAGAAGGTTCAAGAAATTATTACTTGGCTAAAAGGACATCCTGTCAGTACATTGTCTCGTTCTTCGTGTGATTTACAAATTCTGGATGCAGCTATTGTTGAGAAAATTGAGGAAGAAGTCGAAAAGTGCAAGGTACTAACATGAAATAACCAAGATTATTGATAAGAATTAAAGTGAATGGACTATATATTATTTTACAAATAATTATTTTGTGTTTCAACCAAATGAAACATATACTCAGTATTTCTTTCTTTTTTTTTTTTTTTTTTTGAGTTGGAGTCTCGCTCTGTAGCCCAGACTGGAGTGCAGTGGCCGCTCCCAGCCACCGCAGCCTCGACTGCTGGGCTCCGGCGATCCTTCTGCCTCAGCCTTCCAAGTAGCTGGAACTGCAGGTGTGCACTACCACGCCGGGCTAATTTTTGCTTTATTGTAGAGATGAGGTCTCACCAAGTTGCCCAGGCAGGTCTCGAACCCGCGAGCTCAGGCAATCCACTCACCTCAGCCTCCTAAGGCACGGGATTACAGGCTGAGCCACCGAGCCGGCTTGATTGCAACATTTTTTTAAAAAATGTATGCATGTAGATAAGACAGGAATTTTTAAAAAATCTGTTAATGTGTCGAGATGCAGTTATAAGTGATTTTTTTTCTTTTAGCGTTATTTTTTTACTAGGGTAATAAATAAAATAAAGAAAAAACTAGGCCGGGCATGGCAGCTCAAGCCTGTAGTCCCATCACTTTGAGAGGCCATGGTGAGGGGATTGCCTGAGCCCACGGATTCAAAAACAGCCTGGGTAACTTGGTGAGACCTCATCTCTACAATAAATCAAAAAATTAGTCAGGTGTGGTAGCATGCACCTGTAGTTCCAGCTACTTGGAAGACTGAGACAGAAGGATCGCCTGAGCTCAGCAGGTCGACACAGGGATAGCTGAGAGCATGCCACTGCACTCCAGCCTAGGCAACGGAGTGAGACTCCAACTAAAAAAGAAAGAAAGAAAAAACTAAAAAATAAACACAATATTCTAAAGATAATTTAGATTTTTTTTATAATTCAGGATCATCATTAAAATATCAGTAGTTTTCTTTTCCAACAGTGGTTTCCAAACTCAGCTAATCATCAAAATTACTCGGGGAGCTTTTTAAAAACACACATTCTGGGCTCCATCCCTATCGGAGAACTTCTCAAACTTTAAGGTACAAACAAGCTATCAGGGGATCTTGTTAAAATATTAGTTCTCATTCAGTGAGTCTAGGGTGAGACTTGAGAGACTACATTTCTTTTATTTATTTATTTATTTTTTTGAGTTGGAGTCTCACTCTGTTGCCCAGACTGGAGTGCAGTGGCTACTCCCGGCCACCGCAGCCGCGACCTGCTGGGCTCCAGTGATCCTTCCGCCTCAGCCTTCCAAGTAGCCGGAATTACAGGCATGCGCTACCACGCCCAGCTGATATTTTGATTTATTGTAGAGATGAGGTCTCGCTGCCCAGGTGGGTCTCGAACCCGCGGACTCAGGCAATCCACTCACCTCAGCCTCCCAAAGGTGCGGGATTACAGGCTGAGCCACCGAGCCCGGCTGAGAGTCTACATTTCTAACAAGTCCCAAGTGATCACATTTTGAGTAACTAGTCCCCAGACCTCTTATACATTAGGTGTGTGTCAGGGTGTATTATGAAAATTACTCAACTTATTCAGTTGTCTGATGAATCCATTTTTGTTTTGTTTCTTTTTGTTTTTTTGAGTCAGATTCTCACTCTGTTGTCTAGGCTGGAGTACAATGGTATGATCATGGCTCACCTCAGCCTCGAACCCCTGGGCTCAAGCAATCTTTCTGCCTCAGCCTCCAGAGTAGCTGAGATTACAGACATGCACCACTACACCTAGCTAATTTTTAAAAAACTTTTTTTGTAGAGACCAGGTCTCGCTATGTTGCCCTAAACTCTGGGCTCATGTGATTCTCCTGCTTTGGACTCCCAAAGTGCTAGCATTATAGGCATGCACTACTACGCCAGCCCTAATGAATTAGTATTGAAAGCTAAGTCTATAGTATAATAATGCCTATGGCTGTATTAGAGTGTATGGGTTATTGTTTGATATGAATTGCTCCAGGCACAGTTGTTGTGCCTGGTTTTTTAAGATCCTTTAAATCTCTTCTCATATTTTTTATTTTTGCTGTTGTCAGTAGACACCAATTATACTAGTACATCTACCTGCTGTGGGCTGAGAGAATAGATACCTTGTCAGTAAGACCTTCACTATTCACTCTCTTAAAATTGTAGTATCCCCCAGTCTGCTATCCCCCCTTACCTGCTCTATTTTTTTGGATGCTTTTTACCCTTCAAACATGCCGTATATTTTCCTTATTTTCTGTCTTGTATATCTCCATCTGCTAAAATAAAAGAACAGTTCACTGCTTTATCCCTAGCACCTAGATCAACCAAGACGTGCACATAAATGGAACCCAGTAAATATATATATTGAAAGAATAAATGTAGCCAGGCATGGTGGCACATACTTGTAGTTCCAGTTACTTGAAAGGCTGAGGCAGAAGGGTTTTCTGAGCCCAGCGGATCGAGGCTGCAGTGACCGTGAGTGTGCCACTGCCCTCCAGCATGGGTGACAGAGTGAGACTCCAACTCAAAAAAAAAAAAAAGAAAAGAAAGAATAAATGAAATGCCTCATAACAAGAGAAAACAGACACTGTTAAAAGCTTGTGCATTTTATAGTATATAAATGTATGAACTCTATAGTGTATGGACTCTGTAACTTACAATTGTTTATTGTCCTTTTGTACTAATTTCCATAAGCTTTGTTCTAAAGATAGATGGCTGCCATATAATTAAACTACTACAATTTTTTATTAGGTAAGAATTCATTTTTAAAAATTTAATGTGAATAGTAATCTGTGGATTGCAATGTTTATAAATTATCCTCACATTTTTATTAGATAGAACAGATAATATTATTTCCATCTTACAGAAGAATGGAAGCTGATGCTTAGAGTAGTAAAATATAAGTTTACAAAACTAACAAGTAACAAAGATAGGAGAAAACTCTTTTTCCAGCATTTTTGAGATAAAAGATTCTAACACCAAATTTCACAGCAGATTCAAAGGGAAGAGCTTTGTCAGATGAATGCCACCTTGATTTTTATAAGTAGCCACAAAAACCTATGGTATTTCTGACATAGATCAAAATACTGACTGGGCACGGTGGCTCACACCTGCAATCTCAGCACTTTGAGAAGCCAAGGAAGGAGGATTGCTTAAGCACAGGAGTTCAAGACCAGCCTGGACAACATAGTAAGACCTCATCTCTACAAAAATTAAAAAAAAAATAGCCAGGTGTGGTAGCACGTGCCTGTTGTCCCAGCTCCTCAGTAGGCTGAGGCAGAAGGATCACCTGAATCCAAGGATCACCTGAGCCTAGAAGGTCAAGGCTGCAGTAGGCCTCAATGGTACCATTTCCCTCTAACCTGGGCAACAGAGTGAGACCTTAACTCAAAACAAAACACTTGATACCCTTAAAAAATATATAAATCTTTATTAACTGTTGCATATGATTTGTTTTAGAGTTAAAAAAGAAAGCATTTGAATAGGATAGTACTTATAAAAAGTTCCAAACAGACAAATCTCATCTTTTGTGTTAGAATTAAAGTTACTTTGGGGAGGGTCGTAACTAAGAGGGGATGGGAAGGATTTCTTATGTTTTGTTTAATAATTTTGTTTGTGGAACTAGCTATAGTTATATATAGATAGGCTATAAAAATTCATCAGGCTGTGTACTTATAATTTTGCTTCTTTTTTTTTTTTTTTTTTGAGTTTGGGTCTCACTGTGTCACACAGGCTAGAATGCAGTGGCATGTTCATGGGTCAGTGCAGCCTCGACCTCCTGGGCTCAGGCAATCCTTCCAACTCACCCTCTCAAGTAGCTGGGACTACAGGTGCATACCACCACACCTAGCTAATTTTTAATTTTTTTTTGTAGAGACCAGGTCTCACTGTGTTGCTGGTGCTGTTTTGTTTTGTTTTGTTTTGTTTTTTGAGACAGAATCTAGCACTGTTGCCCAGGCTGGAGTGCAGTGGTACAATTATAGCTTACTTCAGCTTCGAACTCCTGGGCTTTAGCAGTCCTCGCACCTCAGCCTTCCAAGTTTGGACTACAGGCACATGCCACCACACCTGGCTTTTTATTTTTCCTTTTGGGAAAAACAGGGTCTCACTACGTTGCCCAGGCTGGTCTCAAACTCTTCAAGCAGTACACAGACCACAGCCTCCTAAAGCACTGGGATTACAGATGGGAGCCACCACACCTGGCTAATTTTGCATTTTTTTATATGTCTTGTACTTTAACCAAAAAATGTACTTTAAATTGTTATTAAATAAGAATTTATAAGCCTCTTAGGATGGTTAGGGAAAAAAAGAATTTATAGGCTACTGCCATTTTATAAATGTTTATTTTATTCCTCCTTGCTACACCTGCAGAAATTTAAATATTCTGAAAATTAATAATTTCACTTGGCTTTTTAAAATTCAGACTTGTTGAAGTAGTTAATAATGTAATGATTTTATCATTTTATATTCTTAAAGTATTTAAAAATGTTCTTCTTTCCTCAGCAAAGAAAGAATAATAAGAAGGTACGAGTGACAGTAAAGCCCCATTTGCTATACAGAGTAAGTTTCTTATCAAAGAATTCAAAATTATTTCTTTTACTTTGAAAGTGTGAAAGGAACAAAAATGTATTTAATAAAGTACTAGGAAAACTTTCTTTGTAATTAGAACTAAAATTTAATTGGAATTAATATCTAATTAATTTATTTTCTTCAGCCTTTAGAACAGCAACATGGCGTCATGCCTGATCGGGATGCAGAATTTCGTCTCTTTGACCGGGTTGTAAATGTAAGAGAGAACTTCTCAGTTCCGGTTGGCCTTCGGGGCACCATCATAGGAATTAAAGGAGGTAACATTTCCAATACCTGACATATCTTCAACATACATTTATATTGTAAAGTACTACACAAATTTGTGTGTATGTGTGTGTGGTTTTTTTTTTTGAGTTGGAGTCTCACTCTTTTTTTTTTTTTTTTTTTTTTGTCATTCTCCAAATTCTCCTATATGGTTTTGTTTTGTTTTTTTATAAAGCTGTGGGGTACAATTCAGGGTTAGGTATACAAACGATTATGCAGGTACCCTTGTTGATGAGGTATGCCCCTCCCTCCCCTAGCAGTTTCCCTCAACTGCCAATCCCACCCCCTCCCCTGACATTTTCCCACTACTGCCAATGCCAATCCCTTTCTTGCATATTATAATTGTTCAAGGTCCGCTTATGAGTGAGAACATATGGTACTCTGTTCTTTGTTTCTGTGATAGATCACTGAGTATGATCGACTCTAAATCCATCCAAGTTGTTGCAAAGTCCATATGTTTCTTCTTCTTTATGGCTGCATAATATTCCATTGCATATATATATATACATTTTTTTATCCAGTCCAACTTCAGTGGGCAACATAGTTGGTTCCATGTTTTTGCTATTGTGAATAGAGCTGCAATAAACATACATGTGCAGGTATCTTTTTTGTAGAATGATTTGAGTTCCTCCGGGTATATTCCCAGTAGGGGAATTGCTGGGTCATATGGAAGGTCAATGTCTAGTTCTTTCAGAAATCACCACGCTGACTTCCAAAGAGATTGCACTAGTTTGCATTCCCACCAGCAGTGCAGAAGCGTTCCTTTTTTTCCACATCCTCACCAGCATCTGTTGTTGTTTGTTTTATTAATGATGGCCATTCTTACAGGGGTTAGGTGGTATCTCATTGTGATTTTGATTTGCTTTTCTCTAATGATGAGTGAAGCTGAGCAGTTTTTCATGTGTCTATTGGCTGCCTATATATCTTCTTTTGAGAAGTGTCTATTCATGTCTTTTGCCCACTTTTTAATGGGGCTATTTGTTTTTTTCCTTTCAACGCGTTTGGGTTCCTTGTAGATCCTAGATGTTAAACCTTTGTCAGATACACAGTTGGCAAATATTTTTTCCCATTCTATGGGCTGTCTCCCTGCTCTTTGGTGATTTCTTTTACTTTGCAGAAGCTCATTAGTTTGATGAGGTCCCACTTGTCTTATTTCTTAAGATATGGGCATTTAGAGTTCTGAACAGAAATTGGTTTCTAGTTCCAATTTCAATAAGGGTGTCTCCTGTGTTTTCTAAGATTCTTATAGTTTGAGGTTTTACATTTAGGTCTTTGATCCATTTAAAGTTAATTTTTGTGTATGGTGATAGGTAGGGGTCCTGTTTCAATCTTCTGCATGTGATCAGCCAGTTTTCCCAGCACTATTTACTGAATAGGTTCTCCTCTCCCCAGTGGTTGTTGTTGGAGGCTTTGTCAAAGATGAGTTGGTTGAGAAGTTGAGGCTTTGGTTCCAGAATCTCTCTCCTGTGCCTGTGAAGTCTCACTCTTGCCCAGGATGGAGTGCAGTGGCATGCTCACAACCACCCAGCGTCAACCTACTGAGCTCCAGCAATCCTTCCACCTCAACCTTCCAAGTTGCCAGAACTACAGGCATGTGTTACCACACCTGGCTGATTTTTGATTTATTGTAGAGACGAGGTCTCACCAAGTTGCCCGGACTGGTCTTGAACCTGCAGGCTCAGGCAATCTACTCTCCTCAACCTCCCAAAGTGCTGGGTTTACAGGCTGAACCACCAAGCCTGGCCATTTGTGTGTTTTTATATCGAGCAGAAAGCAACTGTGAATAAGGAAAAAACAAAATCCTTTTTATGTTTTAGTTAAATTTTTCTAGGATATGCTTTTCTGAGAAAATTCTTTTCTGTCCTATATAATCATCTAGAAAGTGATTAAAAGAAGTAGAAGTTGAGAAGGAGCTGCTAAGTATTTGGTAGTTTATACATATCACATTAAAATTACATAAGATCTTGGTGGGAATGCATACGTTTTCGTTAAATTTTCATCACATCTCCTGAATTATACTCTCCTAATTTTGCTAAGAACTTTACCTTTATTTTCACTGTAATCTTTTAGTTTCTGTGAAGAAATAAACAATATGACATTATTTGTAGTTAAAGATTTGAAAGTTAAGTATGCATATTAACTATGAATTTTATGATACAACTAGGTTGTGTATATGAACAGACCTATTAATCTGTTGCACAGCACTGCATATAGTTAACACTGTTGTACTGTACACTTAAAAATGGCTAAGATGATAAATTTCATATTAGGTGGTTTTTTGTTTGTTTGTTTTTTGAGTTGGGTTCTCACTCTGTCACTCAGGCTGGAGTGCAGTGGCACAATCACAGCTCACCATAGCATCAACCTTCTGGATTTAGGCGATCCTTCTGTCTCAGCCTCCCATATATCTGGAACTAAAGACATGAGACACCTGGCTAAATTTTTTTTATTTTCTATTTTCTATTTTCTTATTTTCTATAGAGATGAGGTCTTGCTATGTTGCCCAGGCTGGTCTCAAACTCCTAGGCTCAGGGGAACCTCCTGTCTTGGCCTCCCAGAGTACTGGTATTACAGGCATGAGCCACCACACTTAGCTATGTATTTTTTCTACAGTATGTTTTTAAATGAAAGTGGGAGAAAAAAGGGAAGAAACAGCTGAGGATCAAAATGTGACCCAAATATCTGGAGCAATTAGCTTTATAGCATACATTTTTTTAGAAGTCAACCCCAGCATGAAGCATCATCATGCCCAGCTGGCAGCACTTTTCCTCTTGTCCTAGGCACCCAACCTCTTGTTCTCATCATCACAATAGGAGGAAGAACAGGCAGGCCATGAGCCTAAGAGAACTGCTTTTTTAGTGCCAACAGTATTCCAGACACTTATACATTTTGTATTTAGCCTTCACAGCTACCTGAGAGGTGGGCATTATTTCCTCACCTGAGAGGCTGAATAACTTGCCTATGTTTACATAGATAATTGACAGAGTTGGAATTGAAACTCTTCCTGTTTCCCACCAAATTTTGAACAGTGGTTCTGTACATTTTCCATCTGCTGATCATCTTTGGATCTTTCCTGCCTCTAAAAGAGAATTTTCTTTCCTGATTCTTTTTAAATTTCTTTTTTTTTTTGAGTTGGAGTCTCACTCTGTCGCCCAGACTGGAGTGCAGTGGCCGCTCCCGGCCACTGCAGCCTCGACCTGCTGGGGTCCGGCGATCCTTCCGCCTCAGCCTTCCGAGTAGCCAGAATTACAGGCGTGCGCTATCACGCCCGGCTGATTTTTTGATTTATTGTAGAGATGAGGTCTCGCTGCCCAGGCGGGTCTTGAACCCGCGGGCTCAAGCAATCCACTCACCTCAGCCTCCCAAAGGCGCGGGATTACAGGCTGAGCCACCGAGCCCGGCTCTTTTTAAATTTCTTTTGGTATGTTTCCCGCTGTAGGAAATGGAGAGAAGGAGGGTAAGGCTCAGGTGGGTGTGACAAAGCAACTCCTCTGCTACCGTCTGTTCAACTCCCTTATCTGCTGTTCATATATTGAGCTTACTGATTGAACCCTAGTTAGGTTGTCCTGATGAGGCCTTAGGAGTCAGATAACAGAAGCTTCCTTTCTTCTGACAACTCTTATCAATAAGAGGCTACTTGAACTCTTGTCTTGAGTAGGATTTTAAGGCTGCATCTATGCTGAGTTGAAAAGAGCTTTGTCACTGAATAACTTTGCCATGAACGTGGAATGAAAAGGGGAATATTTGTTATTTCTGCCCTCACCTACAACCCCATCTCCAGTGAGGGCTCCCCTAAAAGGTGTGACTAATCCTCTTGTCAATAATCTTTTGGGGAAGTGACCCTCCCCCAGGCAGGAAATGGGAACCTAAATGGTATGTCTTAAGCCTTCACAGAAGAAACTCCTGCCTCTTATTGAGTCTCACTTTCTTGGGTTTATATTTTAGGTAAAAGTATCACGTTGAAAGTATAGCTGGATGGGGGAGAGTGAATAAACTCTGCAGGCCTGGTTCCACTTGGGTAATGAGGGACCAGAGATGGATGAGACAGTCCCTGATGTCTACTAGGAGCTAGCATGGTGTCAACTATTGTATAGTCAGTGTTCTCCAGAGAAACAGAATCAACTGAATGGCAGGAGAGAGTAAGAGATTGATTGATTGATTTTAAGGAATTGGCTCATGTGATTGGGGGGACGGGCAACTCCAAAATGTACAGGACAGGATGGAAACTCTAACAATTGTTGATGTTACAGTATTGAGTCCAAAAGCATACTGGAGGCAAAATTTTTATTTGGAGTCCTCAATCTTTTCTTTTATGACCTTCAGCTAAATAAATGAGGCTCACCCCCCCCTTATGGAGGGTAATCTTTACTCAGAGACTACTAATATAAATGTTAATTATATCTTTAAAATACCTTCATAGCAACATTTAGATGAGTGTTTGGCCAAACAGCTAGGTACCATAGTCTGGCCAAGTTGACACATAAAAGATTAACCATCACAAATGTCAGTGTCTGCCAAAGTTTGCAACACATTCATTCTACTAAGAGATTATTTTAAGTGGCACAGGGGTAGTTCGTTAAATAACATTGTAGAATGATTATTTTATATTATATTTTAATTCTGATTATCTTAAGAACGGTCCCATTTGATATGAGACCCTGACACATCTCTGATACTTAATTAAAACACAAAAAAAGGCAGAACCAGAGTTTAGCTAGAAGTTAACCACACTATTTTGTTTTCATTAAATTTATTCTTACAGTGATCTTCTATTTATGGCGATACTGATTTTTGATTTATGGTAGTGACATAATGCTTCCTTTTTAGATATATATATTTAAATAACCAAAATGAGTTCATTTAAGGTTTTTAAAAAATCTATCAGAGAAATGACTCTGTTTAGGTTACAAAAAAAACCTCATAATTGTCTCTTTAAAATCTCAAAATAGAAATGATACCATACTTAGGTACATGAACTAAGTATAGTGTTTATATGTCATCTGGGAAGGAAAGCAAATAGGAATAAGTGGTTTTATATACCCAATTACAAATTATGGGGTTGGACACAGTGGCTCACACCTATAATCCCAGCACATTGGGAGGCTGAGGCAAGAGGTTTGCTTGAGGCCAGGAGTTTAAGCCCAACCTGGGCAACATATGAAGAACCCAACTCTACAAAAAAAAATTTTTTTTAATTAACTGAGTGTGGCGGTTATGTGCCTGTAGTCCTAGCTACTTGGGAAACTGAGGCAAGAGGATCCCTTGAGCCCACAAGTTTGAGATTACCGTGAGATATGATCACACCACTGTATTGCAAATACGCCAAGGATTGATGAGAATATAGAACAATGAGCATTCTTACAACACTGATAGTAGTGTCTGGTAAAGTTCAAGCTACTAGAACTAATCAGTACATTTAGGAAGGTTGGAGGATACAACATCAATATGCAGAAATCGGTTGTGTTTCTATATACTAGCAATAAACAGTCTAAAATTGAAAGTTTTAAAAATATCACTTATGATAGCATCTAGAGGTATCAATTACTTAGAAATATTAATAGATTTGACAGAATATGTTTTTAAAAATTCATAAATGGAAAAACATCACACTGTTGACAAAAATGAAAAAGTACCAAAATTAATGGAAGGATATAGATTGTTCATGGAATAAAAGACTCATTTTTGTTAAGATGTCAGTTGTTTTGGTTTATAGATTCGAGGAAATCCTGATAAATATCTGAGCAGCCTGTTTTGTAGTAATTAACAAGCTGATTATAACATGTATTTAGAAAGCAAAGGCTCTAGACTAGCCAGAACAATTTGAAAAGGAACGACATATTTGGAGAATTTATATCACCTGATTTCAAAACTTACAAAGCTCAAGTAATGGAAAACTTTTTGGCAAAGGTAGATATATAGATTAGTGGAATATAATTAGAGTCCAGAGTCCATATGTATATGGTCAATTGATTTTTCTCTATGATATCATGTATATAATGTTTTAAAAGAAGGACAAATATATGGACTTTGCAGCAAATTGGATGGATTTGGAGTCGATCACACTCAGTGATTTATCACAGGAACAAAGAACTGAGTTCTATATGTTCTCACTCATAAGGTGACCTTGAACAATTATAATGCTATGGGAAGGCGATTTGCAGTAGTGGAAAACTGTCAGTGGAGGGGGGGTGGGACCGGCAGTTGGGGGAAAGTGCTAGAGGAGGGAGGGGCATGCCTCATCAACAAGGGTACCTGTATGATCAATGTTTGTATACTTAGCCCTGAATTGTACCTCACATCTTTATAACAAATTAATTAATTTTTTAAAATTTAAAAAATAAAACTTGCAAAATACTGCATATTATTTACAGATATGTGCATCTGTAGCAATATAAAGAAATGTATAGGGATCAAAATGCCAAATTGAAGGTTGTGGTTACCTAGTTGGGAATAGGAACTCGGTGGTCTTCTAAGGCACTGGTATTATATTCTGTTTCTTAGTTTATATGATGTTCATTGTATTATTACTATGCCATTCTTCATATCCTGAATATTTTATATCACATTCAGAATTTCAAAAATAAAATAAATGCTTCCAAACACTCCAAAAACTTACTAATTTTTAGTCATATGATTTTTTTAGTGTCTCTCTCTTTTTTTTCTTTTTTATATTTAGGAACTGTGATTGGACAAAATGTCTCTCTCTTTTTTAACAGCTAATAGAGAAGCTGATGTACTATTTGAAGTATTATTTGATGAAGAATTTTCAGGAGGCTTAACAATAAGGTTTGTATTTCCAGATGACAATTATACTTTATGAATATGTCCATGTGGCCAGTGACTCTACATTACTTGTTTATTTGTCTACATTTTGAGTTTTTTTTGAGTTGGAGTCTCACTCATTTGCCCAGACTAGAGTGCAGTGGCCGCTTCCGACCACTGCAGCCTTGACCTGCTGGGCTCCAGTGATCCTTCTGCCTCAGCCTTCCAAGTAGCTGGAACTACAGGCACGTGCTACCATGCCCAGCTGATTTTTTGATTTATGGTAGAGATGAGGTCTCGCCTGTCCAGGCAGGTCTCAAACCCACGGGCTCAGGCAATCCACTCACCTCAGCCTCCCAAGGCGCGGGATTACAGACTGAGCCACCGAGCCCGGCTTATATTTTGAGTTTATAGAATGTGCAAGACATCATACTTGCTACTAGGGATATAACACTGAATAAGACAGACATGTTTCTACACTCACAGAGCTTTTTTTTAGTGAGAGATAATTAAGCAGCTGATTACAATATTAATTATTTAAAATGTGACAGATGCTAGGGAGAATGCAGATTTCTAAAGAATATGACCTGTCCTCAGAGTTCCAAAAAGACCTCCTTGAGGAAATGATATTTAAGATGGGACTTGAAGAATGAATAATAGTTTACTGGGAGAAAAGGGAAGAATAAAGACGAGTGCTCAGGAAGAGAAAGTAACATATGCAACAAAGGACATTTATGGTGACAAAACTTGAATAAAAACATCCCTTGAATTTAGTGACATGTAAGTCTTTTTTACCTCTTTTAAGTGGAGTTATAGTTCCTCAAGCCAGACTGAGGTGAATTGAGAAGTGAATGACAAGTATAGTGATAGCGGCAGGAAATACAGGTTACCCTTAAGAAGTCTGACGCTAAAGGGAAGGAGAAAGTTAACTGGAAGTTAAGAGATTTAAAGGAAGAGGATTGGATTGTTTTTAGTTTAACATATGAGGGGAGACCCCAAAACAATGAAATTTATTTATTAAAAATTGTGTATGTATTCTTATATGTTTAAACTTCAGTTACCTTCAAAGTACTCTCTGTTTGATACAACATACCTATTGAGATGCTTTTTCCACTGATCAAGGAAGTTTTTAAACTGGTCCATTTTGATGCCTTTTAATGCTTCTGCTGTTTTTGGTTTGTCTGTTTGTTTGTTTCACCTCTTTCACATCAGCAAAACACTTCTCTTTGAGGGCTTTTTTTATCCGGGGAAACAAAGAAAAGTCGCTGAGGGTGAGATCAGGTGAATGGGGAGGGTGGGGCGTGGGGGTCATGCTGATTTTGATCAAAAACTGCTGAACACTCAGCACAGTATAGGCAGGTGCATTGTCATGGTGGAAGAACCAGTGATCTGTTTGCCACAACTTGGGGCATTTCTTCCACAAATCGTGACACAACTTTCTCAAAATTTCCAGATAAAAACGTTCACTGACCGTTTGATCCAGAGGAACAAATTCTGAGTGTACTACAAGGGGCTTGTCCTCCAAAATTCTCGTTCTTTTTTTGGGGGGGTTCGACTTCATAGGTAAGACTTGAGTATCTTGTGGAGGATTTCTAATAGGAAGCTTAAAATTATAGGAATAAGGATCATGATAAGACGAGAAGCACCATGGTGTATTAGAAAGTGTAAACTCTCATTTTGTTACCTTGGGTAGGTTAGTTAAGTGTCTGACCCTCAACTTCCTTATCTGTAGTAAAGATATATATTTGTCACTAGGTTATTGTATGAAATGAAATACTTTCCAGTTTTCTTTCTTCTAAAAATCAGCTAGAAAACTGAAATAAATTTAGCTTAGTTTATTTTTCTCTATTTCAATTAGTGAGTAATTAAAATAAAAAATAATTACTCTTTTATATCCTCCTTGTATAAAATCATACTATGAGACAGGACATTTAGCATAGCTTAGATATAAATAGTTTCTTCCAGGCAGGCATATCTTAGAAACCAGATGGTGAGGCATGTAGGCACCATTGTACCAGGACATAACTCTTTTAAACACTACCTACACTGACTGAAACCCAGGCCCAACCTTGGGGCAGCTGGCTAAAAGACCACAAACAAGACAGTAGGGAGTTACTAGAGACACTGAGGCATGGAGTTTTCATTAAACAGCAACTTTTCTTATTAATTATCTCAAAAGTTCTTTCTGACACAAGCAAGCTTAGGAGTAAAACAATAAGAATTGAAACTTGTGATCAATAGCATGTTATAACCCATGTAACACACAGAGTTTAGCTTAGAAATAGTGCACATAAGAGAGCACTCTGCTAACAGAAAGAGGGTGTACTCTTTCCCTTAAGAGCACCTGCATTCTCTCTGGAGCATATTTTTTTATTCTCTAATAAACTGTACTTTAAAACTCTCTGTGGCCAGATGAAGTGGCTCACGTCTGCAATCTCAGCACTTTGGGAGGTGGAGGCGAGAGACTGCTTGAGCTCAGGGGTTCAAGACCAGCCTGAGCAACATGGCGAGACCTAGTCTCTATAATAAATCAAAAAATTAACCAGGTATGATGGAAAACGCTTGTGGTTCCAGCTACTTGGAAGGCTGAGGCAGAAGGATTGCCTGAGCCCAGCAGGTTGAGGTTGTAGTGGTCATGAGCATGCCTCTGCACTCCAGCCTGGACAACAGAGTGAGACTTTGACTCAAAAAGTAAATAAATAAGCTGGGCTCGGTGGCTCAGCCTGTAATCCCGCACCTTTGGGAGGCTGAG